GTAATGATGCAGGACTGATGCAACTGGTTTAGTTTCTTATTGTAGAAATTCTTTCTTTTGGTTGTATGTTCAAGGTAAACTAGTTCTTTCTGGCACAGCTCTCATTTATTTTTATTGATTTTCAGATTAGCAGAATTTATCTTATCAGGCTTTCCATAAATGGATTTGGTCATGTTCTAAGGTTTTAGTGTGTGCTAGAATTTGAACTGAGAAAAGCATGACTTCTTGTTAACCTCAGGTAGGCTTTGTTGTATCCTGAAGCTGTTATTTTTGTGCTAGTTCAAGCCATCTACTATTGTAAAAACAGTCATTTCTTTGTCCTTTGGATCTGCCAAGATTTATCATTACCTGGTTTTTAAGATGAAGTGTGAAAGTCTATCCTGAATCTGCTTCCACCAGTAACTCTTGTTACTCTTAATGCTGAACTCATTTAATTAATCAGGGTCTGGTGCTTTACTTATGCAAGACTCTGAATGAGAACTAAGGAGTGTTTAAAGCCTAAATCCAGCAGTGTATCAGAGCAAGCCAGAAAGAGATTCTAGAAGTATATCTTTATAGACTTGCCTTTCAAAGATAGGTTTTCTTTTGTCCTTTCTTGAAAGTATCTTAGATCAATGTCCTCCTATTTTGCAGCTGTGATTGTAGATCTTATTGATGATATTTGCCAGCAAAGGTTAACAAAAGAGCAAAAGATGGTTTCTTTCAGACCCAGAGAAACTTTAGTAAGTAAAATGAAAACCTGTTTTCAGTGCTAGTATCTTGGTGCTCCTGTACCACTGTCTCCCCTTTGCTGTGAGAATACCATGGTGTGGCACTGCTCTACCCCCGCAAGCAGGAGGACAGCTTGTTCACTGCCTCTTGCCTTCACTGAATGTATCTCTGGAATCCCTCAGGCAGTGGCAGTAAGCTGCAAGAAATATTAATGGTTGAGTATGTCTTTGAGCTTACTGCATCTAGGAACTTCTGGGTAAATGTTTTCAGTTTATGTGGACGTATGGTTTAAAACATCATTTATTACAGTGATTCATTATGATAAAAACATATTCTGGAGATCTGGGCTTCTTGATCAAATTCTAAGGAACCAAATTTTAAATTCAAATGTTACTGGCTTTGTACTGATGAATGTACTAGTAATATTTTTGTTCTTGTTGTCAGACTAATCAGTTTTGGTATCCATTTCTTTTAGTCATTAACTCTATAGCTAATGATCAAGCCAGGGCTTCCCCTGTTCTGCACTGCACGTGTGTATTCATCCAACCTGTTCCCCATTGCTCTTTGTATTTGCTATTGTCCAGACCTCAGCAAGGCTGTAAAGGCTGTTCGTTAAACCTCAGAGCTATTATCTTTTAACTTGATGCTCTTCTTTTTATAGAACTGGGGAGTGAGTTTTCACTAAATGATTGCCCAGCTTTATATTTTCTTAAATCACTTCTTTACTGCCAATATTTCTAGTGCCAGTGAAACCTAATTTTTTCTTTACATTTGACAATTTCTACTTTATAAACTGGATTTATTGCTTTTTCCAAATCATTCTAGCACTTCTGGGACTTATCCCCTTATTCTCTCTTCCTCCTTTCTATGTATAAAAGCTCAAAAAGCAATTAAACATTCATAAAAGGTTCCAAATTGCTGTTGACTCCAGAAGTGCTCAGACGCCACAAATCCTAGGAGCGTTTATGATGGTATTCATAGTGTGGTCTCACCCTTTTCTTATACATTCTTGGGTCATTTGATTTTTTGATCACTGTGAGAAACTGCAGGGCCAAGTGGGATTTCAGTGGTAAGGCTGTTTTTAGGGCATGTATTATTGATGAATTAGTGATTTTACAATAACATAAAACTAGAAAGCGTAATTTATTTATATAGGTGGGCAAACAGGCATGAAAAATAGGTATTTGAGTTGAAGGCAAAATATTACCAGCAATTCTTCTGAGAACTGAGGATCAGCCAGAATAATGCTCTCTATTTTAATGATTTAGAACTGAACAGAGAAAGTAGCTCTGTGGATCCGGGTTGGATTCACTCCAGACACAGAGCCATAAGAGTGATGTGGTTTCCAAGGTCTGCATCCAGCATGCATGCAGGCAGGCATGTACTCAGAAGAATAGCCAAATTTGAGTGAAAGAGATGTGCAACCTGTGCAGGAGATGTTCATCTGGGCTCACTGCTGGTTAATATGGAAGGTTTGTTCTGTGGCATTTCCTATATGAACACAAAGAATGCTTTCAAAGTTAAAGCTTTTTAATTCACCACGGGTGCCAAATAATGCAGAGCAATTTCACTTTGGAGTTTTATTTTTGAAGCTATTAATGTCAAGCTGGTATAAAGATGTTGGTTCAGTTGTATCGTGTTCTAACAGATTATTTTTTGGTCTGGGTCATGGTTATTGCTGTGGAAGATTTTCAAAAATGGAATGAGTGCAAAAGTATAAACTTTTTTCTAAGTTCTCAATATTTCTTTGGCTTTATTAACTAAATGAAGGATTAACAACCACAGTACAGAATGTCTTAAATAAAGCAGTGGGATTATGACCCCAAGGTTGTGTTTTGGTAAGTGCAGTACTGTACACAACCATCTTAGAGGTGGACCTCCTGCACCTTACAGCATGCAAGGGCAGAGTGAAGTTACAGGGCCAAGACCACAGCTCCTTCCAGTGAAGCCAGCTGTTGGGCACAGGTGAGCAAGAGATGAGGGTGCAGATCCCCTACGTAGAGAGCAGCCCAGTGTGATTGGTTCCTGTTCCTCTAGAGGTGAGGTGGAGGCAGCTGTGACTTCCCATCACAGCTTTGCCCCATGCTGAATGGCACCTTGCTCACAGCCACCTGCTTCGGGTGTGAACAGACACGTTTATGCACCACTTGAATCACAGAAAATGTGGCCATGAGGTAAGCTGTGGCTGCAGCCCATGCTCCAGCTTAGTGGTCCAATTCAGAAGCTCCCATATGTGGGCCCACTGGCCGTTGTTTCATGGTCAAGTGTGGTAGCAGTTTGTCGCTGCTGATGTTTTATAATGTCTGTGCAAAATACCTGTCTGCAAACTGACGGATGAAGAAACTGCACTGGAGTTGGTAAGACTGGAAGTGGAAGGTACAGGCTGGAGATGTTCAGCTGTTTCTAGCTGAGAATGAGACTTTGTTGCAAGGTGGTAATTTCTGACTGCTAAATTAAAAGCCTTTTTGCACAAACCAAAAGAAACCAGGTGCATTTAACTGAGATCAGTATTCATCTGTGGATATTTCTGCAGGGTATTTAAGCATCCTGTGCGTGACTGCACAATCGTGGAACAGCAAAATGTCACGCCTGCAATTTCTAATGACTGGAATTGCAAATAATCCTCCTTAGGCAACTGTCGCCCACGTGCTGTCAGCACAGGGTTTATAGATGTGTCCTGGAATATTTGTCTAAGACAAACATTTAAGAAATTCAAAGCAGATGCTTCTTTTCAGGGAATATGGTCTCTTTTCAGTGCACTTGAAGCTTAAATAGATGTATCTCTCCTTCTTTGGGTTGCACTACCTGAATGTGTTCCTCCAAATCAAACCTGTGGATTTTATCCTTTCATTCAGGGATGGTGCACCCTTGGGGTTCTTATGACTGACCAGGTACAGAATGTATTTGTATGAATTTATAAGAAAATAGTTGCAATTTGGTTGGAGTATACGCACATTTTCAGAAAAGAGTAAGGAACAGATTTTATGTTGTTTTGTGAAAGCAATAAGAATAAATTTGCTTCGTGGTAACAATAAGCTATTTGAGATTTAGAAGTAGAGAAACACATTGAATAGAATTGAATAGAAGCTGTGTTCTACTGGTGTCAGAGGAGGTGGGAGCAGAGCACAAGTACAGCCTTCACAGTGTTTGATCTCTCTGGCTGCCTTTTGCACAGTGGACACCTGTAACATTTCAAGTCAGAGAGCTATATTTGTAACGCAGAAATCTGGAAGGATTTTGTGAAGCCCTTGCTGTTAGACATTGGATACACTAACAGTAATCTAAGTGGAAATAAACCTCTGCCATTCAAAACTGCCCACTATTTCAACATGCTGTACTAGATGAATTGCTTTATTTTCTGTCAAAATTCACATGCATGAATATTTACCAGATTTCTGTATCAAACTGTTTGATAGTGTTCTGCAGTTGGTATAAGTAAATTTAGGCAAGAATGTTGTCCACTGAGCAACGATGAAAGGAAGGCTGATCTGACTTGAATCCTTTTAGAGGTCTACCCTGTGCTATTAAAGGATTCCTTCCCTTGCCAGCTGTTCACCTGAGCCATGTTCATGATTTTGTGGTATAGGAGAAAGATACACTCTTGTTCTATGTGATACCTACTCTAAGCTTCTGTATTTCTAAGTGAAACTCATATTGGGGTCCATATAGGAACCAAATACTGAGCAATTTGAATTTAGGTCGTGATCTTACCATTTCTTTGTGATGGTAAGTCTTGGTAATTAATTAGCTTTATAAACAGTCTTAATCTAGGACATAGATTATGAAACTAGATGGAAAGTTGCAAAATTCACAATAAATTTTCAACACTGATGAAAACTGAAGCTCATCACCCCAAACCAGAACTTAGGCAGTGAATTCCTGTTCTTGGTCACTTTGAGGGGGAGGGAATAGAGAGGGAAGGGCCACCATACTGCAGCAACACGAGCCTCAGGATGGTATTTTTGTCTGGAGCCAGAAATTGTCCTGAGTGTTTCTGTGCCACTTCCATGTGGAGAAGGGGAACATTTGGGAGATTTGGATTGTTTTGCTCATAATCTGAATACCTTTTTTTTTTTTTTTCCTCCCTCTTTTTGTTTTTCAGCAACAGTTGGCCAAGAATATAAAATTTGGGCAGCCTCCGCAAATGACAATTTCTGGGAGGACAATGGGGGAGGCAGCTGCCAGTCTAGAAGAGGATGTGTTTCTCGGTAGCCTCATGGAGATTGACTCTCAGCAGGACACGGTGCTCTCAGAGAGCGGTAATAAAGTAAGCACTTTAAATTGATGTTTTCATGGCTTTATAGTGATAATAAACTACTAAAGTTCATCAGGGCATAACAGATGTCTCCAGCGAGGCTGAGCCAGGCTCAGCGGCTGCTGAATGTGGGTGGGATTGCACAGCTCATGCATCTTGGACTGGTGAGAAGTGTGTGCTCTTGGCTTCCTGAGTTAGGTCCCATAGTCTTGCCAATCTGATCATCTGCTCTGAACCTCCAGCAAAGCATGTGTTACTCACAGGGTAGCCAGCAGACCGGATTTTTAACTGCAACTGAATGTCTTGAAACATGGTTATCCTAGCACAGAAAGCTGTGCGCAGCATCTGTGGCAAAACTGAAAATCATTGCAAAATGAGAGAGGTATGGAGACTAAATCCCCAAGATCCGTGATCTTGGGGTAAATACCCATATTCCTCTTGGACAGGAATTGAAGACATATAAGGTGGTGAAACATTTGGAGAATGGTTTATAAACCCAAATGTGCAGTGTAATTCAAATAATGATTCGGATTCTCTACAGAGACTTTGATACCAGGAACTGTGGAGGCGGGTATCTAGAAGGGGCTTGTTCTCATGCTGAAGAAACACAGCAAGGGATGGAATCTCTGGAAATTCTCTGCTGTGATGCTTGTTCTGGAAGTTGCTGTAAAGGCTGAAGGGAATGTGGCAGACAAATGGGCAGTCTTCCCTGCCTGAAGAAGGCTGACATTGTGCCAGGGTACCCCTACAGAAGGCACACAGCAACCCCCCATGCATGTGCAACCCATAAAATCCTGGAGGGGAACTAGGCTCATGAGTGCTAAAGCCAGCACTGTGAAAGGCAATGAATGTCCTCTGCAGGCCATGCCTATGTTAAGATAAATGTACAGAAGAGAGATTTATGGCTGAGGTGGCCCAGTCTTCATCCGCCTCAAGAGGCAGCATAACTTTCTATTACTGCTTGCTTCATAGCAGTAGTTGGAGCTGTCAGGGAGCTGGGCACTTGGGTAGGAACTGCACACTCACACTTGTCCCTCAGCAGTCCAGAAATGCAGTTAGAAGTAAGGTGTATTTCTTCTGCTTCACAAATAATCTCTTGTGAAGGAATTAGTTTAGAGCATCCTTTGTGCCTCAAAACACAGTGGGGCTGTGGCAGGTTTTGGCTACATAGCCTGGAACTGGGAGAAGGCTTCAACACCACCTCTGCAGATGGTCTTCGTGCTCTGGGAGACCAGAACGTCACCACCTGGTAATCTCCAGCTGGAAAGAAGAAAGAATCACAAAAAAATCACGGGAGTACCCTTATGTAATAGAGAGAGAGAGGTTCGGGCCTCTCTTTCAAATACTATGCTCTGAAAACAGAATTAATGCTGTCTTGCATAGTTCTTTCTCATAAAACAGAAGGAGTGAACCTTGGTAATCCCAGGAGATCACAGTTCCAAGTACATAAGTAGATACCAATAAGTCAGTGCTGAGTTGCCAGAGTGCTCAGCACTTTGCTTTATGCTGCTGAGCACTGCTCGCTGCCTGCTTTATCAGAGACTTTTGCTGCATGGCACCTTGCTTGGTTTCAGTTCCAGTCTCTTCTGCTGGTCTTGCAGCAGCTCCATGTGCTTATCTGCGTGGGTCTGGGGGAGCTGGTGGCTGGGACCATGTAGCACTGTGGCGCTTCAAGGTTCCCATGCTGACTTGTGACTTCTGATTTTCCTAAATTGGATCGATGGCAAGACTTATATTTAAGCTATATTTTTAAGCTTTGTTCAGAAGGAAAAACTGTACTTTTTCATGTGCACTTGGTGTAATGGGATCCAAACATTCATTAAGTGATGAAGTGATGTGATATAACAATTAAAATGCAACTAATGCTGCTTCTACCCCTGTGCTATAGAATCCCCTGTGTGAGCTGGCTTCAAGCAGGACAATAGCTATGGAGCTCTGGTAGGCTCAGGTCACTCTGTGAAGTGTTACTGAGAATCTTGAGCTGCAGCTCTGTGCAGCAGAACTGATGCCTGACTGGACACAGACCAGGTTCTTAGTTTTCACTGGGCCTAGATCAGGAGAAAATAATATTATTAAGAACTGCCTGAAATCCTGAAAAGTTGTGCTCTTTCATTTGAATATAGTTATTTCATTAAGGAAGTGTGTTTCGCTTTCTGTAGTGTCCAGTAGCAGCAATTGCTTCTTTTTGACAGTGGTGACTGAAGGAGCAATGAGAAAATGATAGTATTTAGAAACAAGAATTATTTATCCAGCAGTCCTGCAGTGACAGGAAATAAGACTTGAGAAAACTGAATCTACTGTAACTGAATGATTTCACAAGTTCCTTGAACCATATTTATTAGATTCTGTAGTCATAATATCCAGCTGTGCTGATCTTCTTTTTTTAGTCAGCAGACACTCCAGATCTGTTGAGACCAATGAATTTTCCTGCAACTGGACAAATGGAAGAAAAGGTAACGAAACTTTTGAATTAGTTTCCAGTTTTAGCTATTAGAAGCCTAACAGTTGATTTTTGCTTTAATACACATTTCTTTGTTTCATGATGGTCATCCAAGATCTTGTGAATATTGCATGGTTTTGGAGATAGTAAATCAGCAATCACTAAGATTGTGAAATCTGTTTCTGTAGTGAGAGTTGATTGCAGGAAACAGCAGAGCTCTGTCTCTGCTGGTCCTACAACATTTCTACTTTTGATGTATTAGTCACAGAGCCATGATTTTCCTAAGTACTTCTACTACTTTGTTATGTCTACATGTAATTCAATAAGTGTATGTAAAATGTTCCATCAGCTTTAAGTAATTGGTTCCCTAATTAGCATATGCTTAACCTCAGAAAATTGTAGGGCTGTCTTGAAAACAAGTCATGCGACTTTGTTTCCTTACAGAAAATGTTTTCTCCCTTTTTTTCTGTCGTCTTTTTCCAATGGGGTTGTGCCAAACACAGGTCTTGGGATGATAGCTCAGTGTTTTACAGGAGAAGCTGTGGTTCCAGGCTCACTCTTACACGTGTAGGTGTCCAGTTCCACTGTACTCATGCCCCTTGTCTCACTAAATCACTTTGCTTGTATTTGCAGTTTCTGAACCAAAACATTTGAAGGAAAAGCACCAAAGTCAGTATTCTCATACTGCATTTTTTTGTTGTTGCTTGGTGCTTGTGGTTGCTTTGACATCTCCACATGGCTGTGGAGAGAGGCTTGTCTGGAGGCTCTGAGACCCCATAGCTTAGTCATCTACCACACAGGCAGTACCTCTCTGTACTGCTCTATCATAATGCTTAGATAAGTCATTCTCATTTACTCTTCCTGAAGCATCCCAACTAAATTATTTAAAGATGCACATGTTTTTCAATAAGCAAATTTTAAAATGTCCTAAGGGACGCTGCTGAAAACTCTGCCTTTGCCTTTGTTCTCAACAGCTTATGAGCAGAGCTGGCATATTTTTGTGAAAAAAAAGTCAGAATATTCTGAGTAATATTTAAGTGAAAGGTATGAAACTGTGTGTGGTTCTGGAAACAGAAAAATGTTACAACTGTACAAAGTTCACAACTTCTGTAATGGAAAAATAGGGCTTGAGATAACAAATTGCTAGTTATAAGCCAATAGTTCCTTTGAATTCAAAACTGCCAAGTTTTGTTGTATGTGTGTGTATTTGTTACAATGTTTTTAAATCGAGTGAGCAACTTAACAGAGACTTCTTTTGTTTGTGATACAAACAGGTAACTCCAGTCAAGTCATCCCGGCCAAAAAGACAATTTTCCTGTTCTGGCACAATTGAAACAATCAATCTGGATGCAGTTCCTCAGGCTGTTGCTCGTCTAGACAACAGTGCAGCTAAACACAAGCTGTCCGTAAAGCCAAAAAAGCAGAGAATGTCCAGAAAGCACAAGAGATTAACAAAGGTATTGAACCTTCAGTGAAATAACAAGAGGAGATTGCTTTTGAAGCTGTGTACAAAATAGCCATAACTGAGTGCACCAGGAGTAGCAGAAGACTGTCTTAAAATGTAATTAATATTAATTGGAGACAACTAGTGGAAGCTTGGACAAATCTTGTGTTTTCAGGCCAAAACAAGATAGATGACTGTTTTGTTTTGAAATCAAAACCTAAAGATGAAACCATACCTGGAGATAAGATGCAACAAAGTTTTAACATTGCTAGCTGAAACAAATGCTATTTAAATCTGAGGTACATCCACTAGTATTCTAGACTCAAAAGAACTTTCTGATTCTAGCTAATCTAGTTAAAAAAGTAATAATAAAAATTAGGACATAATGGTCTGAAGCTTCTGCAAGAATGGTGCAGATTCTGACACTGCTGACATCACTGTCTTACAGGAAAGAGAAAGACATGAGTAATGGAGCTCTTTCTACAGCTTTAAGAGCAAGATAACAAATCCTAACTCTAATATGCTTACTGCATGTTACTTTGGTTTTATCTTGACATCAGTATTTATAAATGGGACTGTTCAACTAATATAACATATAGGAGAAGGCACTGATCCTTCTTATCCACTCTTGCAATGAAGATATTAAATCTAAGCAGTTAGTTTCTTTCTGTTTAACTGGAGCCAAATAACAACTGTACAGATGAGAGCTGAGCAGGGCATTAACCGAACTGTTTTCCTCATGGAAAGTGCTGGGCAGCACTGACCAAGTGCAGCTCATCTTTGTTATAGAGATAAGAAGTAAGCTGTGAAAAAGCCTCCTGTTTATTGCAGGCACTGCACCTACTTGGCAGTGCTGTGGGGCAAACACACAGAACCGGGCAGTAGTTAACATTGCCTTGGAACAGTATAGCATTGCTGGGCAGCCCTTAGGAACAGAGACTCAGTTCGCTGTGGCTAGGCTTTGAGAAAAGCAACCAAATTCTGTTTCCCTGAGCACTGTTCTTTCCTGATTAGCATTGCAGTGCTTCTTTATGTTAACATTAGATTTGTCATGAAAGAGCTGGCAAAACAAATGCCCTGAGGCAGATGCTAATTATTTCAAGCTTTATGAACAGAGTTCTAAGTAATAGAAACTTCGTATTTCTCAGCCTTCTGAAATGGCAAATCTCAGCCTGGATTAACTTGTACTTCTCATAGCAACTATTAATTTAACACTGTAGTTATCACTGTCTTGCTGATGATACGAAGTTGGGAGGATTGGCTGACACACCCGAAGGCTGTGCTGCCATTCAGCAAGACCTGCACAGGCTGGAGAGCTGGGCAGTAAGAAACCAGATGAGGTTTAACAAAAGCAAGTGTAGAGTCTTGCACCT